AGGAAATTGAGAACTGGATTGAGAAATGGGATATAACTATATAAAGCAGAGCTTTCAGAAAATTATTAGGGAACAACTTTAAATAAATACATCTTAGGGACGCCTGGGTGGCTCAGTCAGTTAAGCAGCTGCCTTCAGCTCAGGTCACGTCCCAGGGTCCTGAGATCGAGTCCCCCATCGGGCTCCCTGCTCAGCCGGGCGTCTGCTTCTCCCTCTGCCTCTGCTTGCTGCTCCCTCTGTTTGTGCTCTCTGTCTCTGTCAAATAAATAAATAAAATATTTTAAAAATACATCTTAAAACTTAGTTGAAATGAGCATTGTTTCAGAAAAATAGAATTTAATAAGCTGAATCAAAAGAAAAGTTCTTAACTGGTTTCACCATGCTAGCATAACCCATATGCCCCCAAACTTCTCAAGGACAGTGAGTTTGAGGGAGCATGATACACAAACTACCCTGACTTCTGACACCAACTACAAGTTCAGAGACCCCGAGACCACACTTGTGGTTGGTAATTCACTCGAGGAACTCATAAACTCACGGAAGCTGTTATGTTCATGGTTATAGTTTTGTATAAGGAAAGGATACAGATCAAAATTAGCCTAAGAAAGAGATTCAAAGAGCAGAGTTTAAGAAAGTACCAAACTCAGAGCTTCCAGCTGTCTTCTGTGGAGTCATGAACAGTTACTTTTGCAGCAGTGATGTGTGACAAACACACACAGAACACTGGCAACTGGAGAAGCTCACCCAGGCCTTGGTGTCCACAGTTTTTGTTGAGACTCAATCATGTGAACCTGATTGACTGCTCATGTGACCAACCTCAGTCTCCTTACCATAAATCCCAGTGTTACTCTCTGGCTCTACCAATTTTTAAATTCAAGCCAAAAAAAAAGGGGGGGGGAGTAAATTCATACCATGATTGAGAAACTACAGCTAAAGCAGAGTTTTTAGACAATAGCCATATTCATTTGAATTACAATGACTTTATGGTATATTTTGATATTTGGTAAGGCAAATTTTGCCTCATTGTTCTTTCATGTATCTTTCAATTAGCAATAATCGCGCCTCAGATAAACCTCATTGGCTACGATACTGCCACTGTGCAAAGCTCTTTCATGTATCTTTCATAACTACTCTCAGCCATTTATGTTTCCTTATAAAATCTGAATTCTGTATTAGTTAAGTTGCATTCGGTTACAAATGCACATTGTTTATGCTCCATGAGTTAAGTTTAATTGCTGTATAAAAATCTTCCAAAAGATTACATTACGGTTTGGCACTCAAATGAAAAAGTTACTGTGAATGAAGAAATTCATATAGGCAGCAGTGGAACCTAAATTTAATATTAGTAAAGGAAATTTGTCATCAGAGAAATTACTTCATTTTTCTATTTTCTTGCAAAGCAACGATCAAGAGATTTAAAAACTAAGAAAGAAAGTTATACCCACCCCCACCCCAACCCCACATACAGATAAAATCTATTCTGTTTTGCTACTAAGATGCATGCAAAAGGATTGTAATGTAATGGAAAATTTGCCAAATCTCTTGACATAGATAAAATAAATTCCAAAGCAATGAGAGGTAGTGTCATCAATTCATGTGTTTTCAAAGACTATCATTAAGATGTCAAACATCTATTTATCAAAACTTCTTGCCAACTTTGAGCAGAAGACAATAGTGGAGCACTCTTTAAGAAATGTTCCATCACCAGTGTTCCTAACAGCCAAAGGATAATATTGAGTGACAAATGCAAACCTCAGTGACTCGGAGTCCAAAAATGATAGAAAAGAGTTAGACTTTGCCTGTGAGACTGCTTTGGAACACCTTAACACCTTTATTTCACTTCTACTTTCCCTTTTAAGTGTGCATGCAATGATGCACGAGATGGAAACTAACCCAGGTTAGACCAATCAGAGTACGGCAGTACCCGGCCACAGCGACTGGCCAATCAGAGTGAGGCTCTGGGCTTTGTTCATTCCTGGGTCAACTGCCCCTCCCCCTACTGGATCTTGAAAGCCATCCTATGACCACAAGAGGAACCAGCCCTAACATGAAACCAACACATGGATAACATAAAGCAGAGAAGCAGAAGAACCTGGATCATTGGTGACATTATGGATCACCTCAAGCCAGTTTGAGTTCGGTTTTCTGTTTCCTGCAAATCAAAGTTGCCTAGACGAATGAAGCCTCAGTAAATGTCAAAGGATAGAGCAAATGATGATGAGTGGGGACGCTTGAGGCAGCCTTAGTTCCCCAATCTGGGGACACAGTGATCCCACCATCCAGCCCCCAGTCAGTCATTGATTCACATGGTAAGCCATTGGTTATGTCTGTTGAGGACTCCCCATAGAAGACCCTAAAGGCTTGGCTGTGAGGCACACTGTGTAAGTAGGGCATCTTTATATTCTTTTTAAAAATCAGGAAGAGTGGGAATCAGGGATGTTGGCAAGTGAAAAGATATTTACAGCTGATATATGCACATTGTTGTGGTTCATACATTTCTAGACCTTGATTAGACTTTCATATATCCACAGAATGAGAATCTGGGCCTGATGAAGTCAATGAAGTCAAGCACCCATTTTTATTTTCACTTTAATGCCAGCTGCTTCATAAACTGTTCTCACTGAGCCCAGACATACTGCAGGACCAATCAGCTTAAAAAATTGTGTTATATTGCTGGCATGGATCGCTGCTGAGCGAGCAGATGAAGCTAGCTGAATCTAGAAGTAGCTGTGATGCTGTAAGAATCACAAGTCTTTATCCACATCTGCCTCCTGCTAGCAATGTTTTCTGCCTGTCCTGTGGGGTTTGTGAAGGACAAAACACTTTCCTAGCCCCTGTCAAAAGGATAACATACCAAAGTTATAGAAGTTGTCACAAAGCCAGTCAATCTTAATGTCTACTCCCTTAAATTCAAAATCTAGGTTATTTTACGGTCTTTACAAAGCTAGAATTACTTTTCTCTTTAAAACTTGGCAGATTGGTGTTTTTGTTTTTAATCCTTGAGCTTTGTAAGTTTTCTTTCCTGTGCCTACTTGCCCATAACTTATTCTTCTGCTCTGATGACTGCTTTTTAATGAGTTCAGCCTGTACCTTCTTGGACAAATCAGGAGTGTGAGGAGTGTGTTAATTAGCTATCAGATCTAGCCTGGCTTTTGAAGTTCAGAGCTTTGGAATGCTACAGAAGTGTAAATATAATCATGGCTTTTTGCATTTGGTAATTATATTTCAGCTGAAACCTCAGGGAGCTTCCCACCTTGGGATTCTGCTGTCACTGACTCCTGAATGGTTCTGTCATTAATGGCCAGTCTCTGGGGACCCAAACCCAAAGGAAATGTCTTCCTGTTTTGTTCTGAGTGGCCCTTCTTCCTTGCAACCTTCCTCACTGTTGACCAAACATCCTATTTCAGGATGGAGAAAATGAACCTTCTTCCCCTTCCCCTCATGGGGTGAGGAGGAATGAGGCAGGAGCGAGAAAGTTCATCTGGGGGTAAATTGCCTTCTTATGACTATACCCAACTTGTACCAAATTATACCAAATATTATGGGAATTCAAATCAAATATCTACCTACTCCTGCAAGAAGCCTGCACGCTCACCTAAACTGATCTTTCTCACCCTCAATCTAGAAACACCCTCTTTTTCATAACACTTCCCAAGTATGTCCTGGTGCTGGCCCTGGGCCAGACTCTGGGGTCCCATAGATGAACAAAAGAACTCACAGTCAAAGGGCGCCTGGGTGGCTCAGTCGTTAAGCGTCTGCCTTCGGCTCAGGTCATGATCCCAGGGTCCTGGGATCGAGCCCCACATAGGGCTCCCCACTCAGCGGAGAGCCTGCTTCTCCCTCTCCCACTCCCCCTGCTTGTGTTCCCTCTCTCGCTGTGTCTCTCTCTGTCAAATAAATAAATAAAACCTTTAAAAAAAAAAAAAAGAACTCAGTCTGGGTCAAGGAGAGACCTCTTGAATAGACCCTTTAGGTCCATAAGCTTACAAAGAAACTGGAGACCGATTGGGAAGTTAGGGAGGTAAATCAGGGAAGCCTTTGGACTTTGTACACCAGTAGGTGGTTCCCAGGTGAAGTGGGGGGAAGGCATTGCAGGCAGATGGTCACCCCTGACAGGTGGGCATGTCAGCCCTGCTTTGCTACAACATTCAACACTGTGACTGATCACCCCGTTGTCCTAATGATATTTTAAGTGTTGTATTGTGAGTTCTTCCTGTCTCAGAAAAGGTGTTCTTCCAACCGCCTACTTTCATAAAACAGTGTGGACACTTAACATATGAGGAGTAAAAGAATGAGTGAATGAATGGATGAGTAAGTGTAGGCCAAACTAGACCTTGTTACTCAGACTCCAAGAGGAGCCCGACAACATCCCAGGAGCCGGTGCTCCAGGCCACTAGGCACTATCCTCTGCCCAATGGCTAGGATTTGGGGGTGAAAGAGAATGTGAGATGGGGTCAGGGGCTATCAATTCTGAATTTGTCCCTAAAGCTTGAAGGACACTTATCGGAATGCGTCGGTCGTAAAGATTCCTCATCCCTATGCCAAAAAGAAAAAAAAAAAAGTCCATAAAAAAACTGCTCAAAAAATCGCTGAGCTGAAAGGTGTCTTCCGCCCACGCCTACGGGGCAGGTGCTTTCAGATCCAACTAAGGCAGTCCAGAGCCTCCTTTTGCTCCAGGCAGTGCCCCTAACGAATGAGTCAAGGGTCTAGGGTCACCACTCGCGAAAGACTGAGCTACGCTAGCGCTGTGAGAACGAGGGACCGCAGGACCGCAGGTGGACCTGCCCGAGAGTCGCACTGGGTCGAAGGCGAAGCTCGGCACCGGGCGCAGTGCCAAAGAAGCGGGACCGCTGCAGAGCCGGGGCTCCTCCCACAGGGGGCGGGGACCTGCCGGGAGGGGGGGTGGAGTCCGAGCTCCTACCAGAGGAGCGGGGCTGGTCACGTGGGAGAGGCACGGCGGCGCAGGCGCCAAGGAGCGCAGGCGCGGGGGCCGCCCCTCGGGCCCCTGGGGCGGGGTGGGTTTGGCCCACTAGCCTCCAGGCGCCGGGCCCCGGAGCAGGGGGGCGGGGGAAGGCGGGGCTAGCTGCACGCGCGCACATGACGTCCGCGGGGTGAGCGCAGCCGCGGCGCAGGTGAGCAAACCGAGGCAGGGCCGGGTGAGCGAGGCCCGGTCGGCGGTGCGCGGGTGACCCCTCGGGCGGCCCCAGAGCCGGCAGGAAGCTCCTTCCGAGCCGGCGGGGCGCGGCCGCACCTGCGGGGCCTCAGGCAGCCCCCACCACAGCCGCGGCGGACGGCGTCCCTCCCGCCGCGCCGCGGTGAGCGGGCGAACCCCGCGTTGGAAGTCCGAAGACCGGGGCCGGCGCCGATTTGACTGGCGGAGAACCACCCCCCTACCCCTTCCCCGTCCCCGGGCTTTGAGTGAGGCCCGTGACACTGACCTGCCTGAATTGTTGGGACAGAGAACTGAGAAAAGGACTCTGCCCTGGCGCGTCCTTTCCGCCGGGCCGAGCCTGAGGCGGGCCCGGGGGCTGCCTGGGGGTAGCGGGCGGAACAGCCGCAGGTGAACCGGCAGGAGTCGAGGGACCTGGCTCCCCGGCTCTGCGCTTGCGTAGGCTCTGGGCTTCCATAGGGGCTTGTGTTTTATGGGGCCACGGTTTTCTCGGAATCTCAGGCACCTGCTCCCTCCTTCCCCTAAAAGTTACACACGCCTGACAGAATTGGAAAGAGTCCAAGTGTGCATTTAAAATCCCGGTGCTGAAGTCTGGGAATGAAAAGACGGACAAGGCACCGATCCGACAGTCTCGAGGTTGTTGCGGGGGCAGGGAGGTGAAGGAGAGGGAGAAAAAAATGGTCAAGGCCCAGCCTGACAAGGGCTCTGGGGAGGGAGCACACCCAGGGAGTCCAGAAGCTGGCCTGGGGTTCAGACCAAGCTGACTCTGGGCCTTTTTTTCCTTCCAGACCATGCTGTTTCCGCAGCTCAATTACTTAGACTTCAATTTAGTGGTGGTGGTGTTTTTAATTTCAGTGTATTTTTCTTTGAACTTGGTAGATGATTAAAAAAAAAATCACTTAGGATTCATTTTAAAGTGCATTGTCCAGGAACCTGCTTGGATGCTCCAGCCCAGTTCTGGAGTCCAAGAATTGGGATTCAGAATGCAAACCCTGACTCCTTGGAACATAGCCAGTCATCAGAAACCCTCCATCTTGTGTACAAACTACATTTTAGGGGCAATCATTGACTAATCTAGAAATGAGTCAGCATTATACCTCATATTTATGTCACTCTGTAAGGTAGCTTACAAAGCACCATCTGTACATTTTTTAAAAAGATTTTTTTTTAGAAAGGGAGGGAGGGGCATAGGGAGAGGGAGAGAGAGTCCCAAGCAGGTTCGGCCAGGAGCCCCAGACAGGGGCTGAGCTGAAACCAAGGGTCGGTTGCTTAACTGTCTGCACCACCCATGTACCCTGCATTTAATCATTTGATTGTTACAACTCTATAGAAGGTAATTTGGGAATCATTCACATTTTACTGTTGGAAAAACCGTGCCTTGTCCAGGTTCTACAACCGGTAGGAGTTTGATGTAGATTTTAGTTATTCTTGGCGTGGCTCTTCCCATACACCCCCCTCCCCCCATAAGGGCATGCATGGCATTGAGATCTTATGCATTGTTCCCTAGGGGTACAGAAGACATTTCTGATGATTGCCTTATCGGCTTGTGTCACTTAATTGGTTCCCAAAATTTGATTAGGACTAGAATTCTGGGGCTTGAAACCCCAGGCTCTGTAAGTATCTCAGAAATAAGGCAGCTCTCCTGCCAGCCAAATTCTTGCCTCTGTGAAATGTTGAGCTGAGAGACTCCCAAGTCTCCCTCTCCTGAGGCTTGTGTGGCAACAACTGTCCAGAGGCTGGGGGCACCAGCCTCACCTCTGCGCTCAGTGGCCTTTGGCACAGGGAGGTTTCAACTGGGACAGTGCCCTTTGCCTTCCCTGGTGCTGTTAGTGCAGAAGGCATTGGTGACAGGCACCGCACGGAGGATGCATTGTAGAGTGGACAGCTAGGCCAGAGGGGCCTGAGACCAGCCAGGGTTCCCTCCAGACCCAGAGTTATGCCCAAGGAGGCAGGCCTGTAGTAACACAGCTGGGGTGGCACAGCTGGAGAAGTTCAGTGTTTTATGTTCTTCAGATGACCTGCCCTCAAAGAACAAGTGAATCTGAGTCCCGCGAAGAAGAGAAAGATCCTGCCTTAAATTCTGCAGCACTAAAAAATAAAAGTGTCCTGCAATATTTTATTGTGTTGTAGGTTGCTCTTGTATATTCTTCCCGACAACCCCTCAAAGTTCCCTTCTTTTTAGGAAGGAGATACTGAAGGACAAGGTGACCTCTCAAAGAGTAGAAACCCACGGTCTTTTGTGGTATTACCCTTGCCCTCCCACCCACACCCATATAACTTGACAGGGCTGGTGTTCTGAGCCCAGTCAGGAGGCCGTGCAAGTGAGGGGCAGAGTAGCCACATATGTTGGGGGGCTGTAGCTTCAATCCCCGAACAGAGGATTTGTCTTTGTCTCAAAGTTTCCCAGTAGCTAATTATGTCCTCTTGTTCTACTTTCAGCATCTGTTCAGAACTTCCTGACTCTGGCATCTGAGAAGACAGCTGGGCCAGAGCTGGGCAGACAGTTGCCCCAAGGAGCAGAACAGGAAGTTGGAGACTGAGGCAAGTCGGTAAGAGCTCACTGCAAGTGGCCAGGTCTGTAGTCCTTGATGACAAAGGTGGGTGGGAACGCATCCCCTACTGCTCGTGGGGCCCTGGGTGTGCATGTCACCAGGCTGCTAAACTGGCATTTTTAAGCCTGTCCTTGTATCATCCAGGATCGACAGGACCTTGTTACTGTGGGGAGGAGAGGTGCAGAATGGCCTCTCAGCTGAGAATGGGCAATGTGACCCTTACAAAAACATTTGGCTTTGCACTGCAAGCTGCTTGCAAAGCCCTGGGCCTGGGAAAGACTGGTGCTGTCTCTAGCCACAGATTTCCCAGTCCCTGTTCAGGAGCAATTTTGCTTTTAGCCTTCAGGCCAGCGAACGGACTTCAGGAACCACCCCCCCACCCCCGGTCTTCCTGAACCCTGATCCCCCACCCCTACCCCACACTGTTCCAGCTACTGCAGGAGTGCCCAGTGCAGGATAAATAACCATGGATTGGGGGTTGGGAGACCCAGACCTGAGTCCCAGCACAGCCACTGACCAGCCCTACCCCCATGTGACCTTGGACTAGATAGACCCTTCTCTGGGCCTTAGTTTCCTCATTTATCAGTGAAGGAGGGGCTGACCAGAGCTCTGAGGGAAGAATAGGGGACAGGAGAGCAAAGAAGGAAGATGAAACGTCCCTTCCAGCCTCGTTCACTGAGGACTGGAGGCAAGGAGGCCCATGTGCATTCTTAGTTTCCTTTGCCTTCCTTAGCACCCCTCTCTTCCTTTTGGTCTGTCTCAAGCCAGCTCATTCTGGCGAGGGAGGATTCCCTGGGTGGGGCTGGGCTGGGCAGACGTACCCTCTGTGTATAGACTACGATGCTGTCTCTACTTGTTTGAGACATGAATTATCCCACTCAGTGCTGATACTTTGTTTTACGAAGACTTATCAGTTCCTGCCCAGAGGCAGCTCCTTGAACAGGCAGGAATTAGGCCTAGGGAAGCAGGGAGTGAGCATGTGCACATCCCGCAGGACAGCGCTGGCCGCACGTGCTCAGATTGCCTTGCCATTGAGCAGTGGGGCTAGGACCCAACCCAAGATCACCTAAACCCCAGGCTTGAGTGTTTGATTCAAGGTCAAGCCAGCGCTGTCCAAAATTACTTTCTGGTACTGAGCTGAAGTTGGGTACCTCCAAATCAGTTCCAACATGGAGTTTAAAGAATAATATTCAGATAATTTCGTTGGACATTGATGGCCTACTGATGAGCAGGATTTGTGTTAAGTGCTGGGGGTAGCAGCCGCTGCCCTCAGATTGCTCCTCCATAGTGTGTACATAGACACGCCAGTAACTAAAGTACACTGAGTCTATTTGCTTGTGCGGTGTGCAAAGGTACATGTGCGTTTCCACACGCACGTGCTATATAATCAGAGGTGAGGGAACAGTTGATAGTGGGGCTCTCAGGAAGACACTTGGGAGACAAAGTGTTATTTGTGCTGGGCCTTCACATCGTTGGCATGCGGCAAGGGGCATCCTGGGCAAAGGAAACAGCACAGCAACGGTTCAGAGGCCTAACAAGACATGTTACGGTCCTTGTGCGTGGCGTGGTCAGAACGCTGTGATGGGCACCGTCGGCCGTGCCGAGGAGTTCAGAGAGCCCAGGACCAGGCAAGGATGCGGGCAGGTTGGGTTTCTACTGCCACTCTGGCTGCAGTGTGGAGAGAAAGCTGGAGAGGACCTGGCTCTGGCCAAGCCTGTTCTGTGCTTAGCAGAGTGGACCAGCACGGAGTAACAGGGGCCTCGGGGGGTGGGGGGCAAACATGTTTTGGAGGATGGATGGAACTTCCTGACTGATTAGAGGCGGGCAGCGAGGGAGAAGGAGCGGGCTGGGACTCTCAGCTTCTGGCTTGAGCAGTCGGCTGGGGAACTCCAGAAGAAACACTGACTCTAAGTGGAGGTCAGTGTTGGTCATGGTGCCACAGAGATGACCTCCAGAACCCCCAAGTGCAAACTCTGAGTCAGGAACAGCAATCGGAACCTGGAAGTCAATACCAAGGGGTGGGAGTAAAGTGCTGGAAGTAGGTGAGGTCACCCAGGAAGGGGTGGGGTGAGAGGAACCACTTAAGTGGAGGAACCAGAAGTCAAGGCAAAGGGGGGTAAAGAACAGATAGCAAGTACCCTTACTCTCAGTGGTGCCTGCTGACTTCTTGGGTGTGGGGTGATGGATGGGGCAAGGAGCGGGCCGTAGAAGGAGCCACGGAGAAAGGGACATCTCTCTTTGATCTCAGTTAGTATGACATGTGGACGGTGTTAAGGCCTTCACTTCATTCGTCTGCACCGGAAAGCAGGGAGGGTCTGTTGGCACTTGATAAATGTTACAATCTGCATGACTGCAAATGACTCAAACTTTGTTCAGCTATCTGAAGGGCTGGGGGCCTTGGCAGCTCTCCATTTTGACGTTCTGGAGATTGAGTATTAACCGCTGAAGGAGCCCCAGGGTTTCTGGGTAGCCTGGTCCTGCCCATTGTGTGAGAGAGTGAGCTTGGGGCCATAGGCGGGACTCCAGAGCCCCGCCTCCAGCCCTCCCCTGCAGCCTGACTCCCGCCTGCTCCTGCTGAGTCGGCCTCTTTGTTAGCAGGAGCGGAGTGTGGTCGCTGTGAATGGTGAGTGCCCTGCTCCCAGGTTTGAACTACGGAGGTTGGGGATCAGGGACTGGGGCGGGAAGTGGCTTGTGGCATTCTGGGCTGCAGGGAAGAAGCCCTCTGGAAACTGAACTGGAGCGGGGAGAGTTCTGATGGGGACCCAAGAATGTGCAGACTCCAAAGTGAGCTGGTTTTGATAGACCCCCATGATGGCACTGGGGTGCTTTAAGGAGCCTTCACATTCACCTAGTCCAGTCCCATCATTTTGGAGTAGAGGAAAATGAGGCTGGAAGAGGGGATGACCCCAGCTTCGCCTAGGGAGCCCAGTTGGGTCTTGTCCCCCTCACCAGCATGCTCTCCCCTCACCAGAGCTGCCACTCTGAGCGGCCACAGCTGTTGTTCGGCTGTGCTCTTAGCGTGCTTCACCTTCTTCTGTGGGAGAGGATGAGACCAGGTAAGTCCCACGGTGGGAAACGAGGGCTGTAGCCGCATCAGGTGGGGGCGGGCTTCTGTAAACGACCTTGCTGTTACCTCTCGGAGAAACTGACCTTTTCCTTAACAGATGAGGCAAGGAAGGGGAGGACAGAGAAGGGACATCTGTCATATGGTAAATTTCCTTTAATGGTTTGGCTGTATTTGGTGACCGAAAAAACAAGTCACTCTTCTATTTTTTTTTTTTTTTAAAGATTTTATTTATTTATTCATGAGAGACAGAGAGAGAGAGAGAGAGAGAGAGAGAGAGAGAAGCAGGCTCCCAAGGAGCAGGGAGCCCGATGCGGGACTCGATCCCAGGACGCTGGGATCATGACCTGAGCCGAAGGCAGACGCTTAACCATCTGAGCCACCCAGGCGCCCCAGTCTTCTATTTTTAATGCTCTTTAAGACAAAGGGGCATCATGCCCCGTGACCCGCAGAAACCCACAAATGAATGTGTGGGGAGGCAAGGTATGACAGTAGAAGACTGCAGCTTTAGAGTCCTAGTGACCTGGGTCCCTGTTACTGTACTGCTGCCTGTGGGCTCTGTGACCCTGGAGAAGTCCTGAACTTCTCCGAAGTCAGTGCTGTCCGCTGTAAAACGGTAATATCTGCATCAAGGACTGTTGGGTGAGTGAAACTAGGCCCTGAGCATCAAGTGACACTAAATAAATCCCTCTCTCTCCCAATAGCCTTAGAGGCCCCTGTGAAAATGCTTTGTTCTGTTGAGAGAGGAGGGTCTCCCTCCCCTCCCCACTTTTTGTCCTGGGAATAGCTGTGGTCCAGGAGCCTGAGTCAGTCTCACTCTGCAGCACGTTGCAGTGGTACATGCTCCAAGATGGGCCAGGATGGGAACTGCTTCGTAGCTCAAGGAGGCTTGGCTGAGGGGCTGGACCTGCACGTTCTCTAGGTGTTTCCAGGGGTGAATTTTCACCGCTAACCCCAGCAGAAGAGCCAGCTGCTAGAGGTCCCCTGGCGTATGTTCACGGAGAGCCCTGACTCACCCCTGGAACTAATACTGCTCTCACATCTTAGTGCTGCTGGGGCTGAGAGTGAGGTTCACGCTCCTCAAAGGGGTGATTCTTTGCTCACACTTCCTGGGTCACAGCTCGAGGTGGGAGTGGGGTGGTAAACAATACCCACATCTTGTATTCTGGCTCTTGAACATGAGGGAGAGGGGTTGGGGGCCTTTGGGACATAGAAGTTTGCATTCTCCAAGTGCCTTGAGCACTGATATCCACCCCCCCCACCCCCCCCAGCCAGCCTGGCCTTTCCCAGGCTTATTCAGCCCAGGCAGGGCCTAGCCCTTCCATTCTGCCCCCCTGAGTCCCATGCCAGCCCCAAAGCCACTTCCTTCTGGGTGTTTCTGTGGCTTCCCAGATCAGATGGAGCTGGCTCTCATCCCCATAGCTTCATGTCCATACCTGGCCCAAGCTGCCTCCCCTTTCCACTTGAATTTCTGTTATCTGTGTGCTAGGCCTGTGTGTCCTTGAGGATTGTGTTTCATTTAGTTGTCTGTCCTCCCAAATTGCCATTTATTGAACAGGCCAGTGCTGAATAAATGATTGGAAATAAATGTGGAGTCTAGTTGAGTCCTGTTCCCTTGCAGTCATGAGCAAATAGGCTAACTGGTTGTTGGTGGGAATATGGAGCCTGTTGGTCTCTAAAGCAGCAGTGCTGTGTTAGGAAAATGTGGAGCTGAGTGTAAGGCTCTCTAGGCTTCCCGCAATGCATTCAAGTGTTTTGGGAGTTGAAGCGAGTCCTTTTGTAGGGTAGACGTAAGCTGGTCTGTGTGTGCTGCCGCAGAAATGTTATCAGATCTGTGATCAGAGCCCACATCATCTGCTCCGGAATCATACACACATGTCAGAAATCCAGGGATGTTTGGGGCGTGTGTAGAGGTGCAGAAATTGTTCCAGGCTCGGGGGAATCTCCTGTTTATAGCACACAGGTGAGAGCTGTGGTTGTTCTGTGAATACCCCTAATTATTCTGTGAGTTATAATTGAGTAATGTGTAACTTTGCCTCGTAAAAGAACTGGAAGCCAGCCCGTGGGCTGGAAGGTTCTTTCCTGCTTGGCCCAAGAACTTGGGTTCTCCATGAGTCATCATCCTCATCGTTCAGTTCTATTGAATTCACTTGTGTGCGCAATTTTGGAGAGCTCACTGTGTACCAAGCAGGCACTGTGCTGGGCATGGCAGTTCAGAGACGAACTGAGGGACAGAGTCAAAGGTAGATACGTCCACATCTTGTGTGGACCACACAGGAAGTGTACTGGGTATGAGGTGTCTCTTGGGAGTGGTAGTGAGGGTAGGCAGAGCATCCAGGAAGCCTTCTTGATGAGCTGTCAGAGTCCTGAAGAACAGAACCGATGGGGTAGGACATCCCAGGAAGAAACATGGAGATGGGCTCACCAAGAGCCCCGCTGTCCCCCATAGTGAGCTGAGAAGGGAAGCGGGAGGGCGCAGCTCTCCCAGGCCAGCCTGCCCTCATCACTGGACCTTATTCTGCGGCTTATGGCTAACCAAGCGCAAAATCCTGGATTCTTTGCTCTGAGACAATGCTTCTCCAACTTCCTTGTGCAGGTGAACTGCCTGCCTGGTCTGATTAAAAAGCAGCTGATGATTCCTTAGTCCTGAGATAAGGCATGAGCTCTTCCCTTCAATGTGATGCCTGTGCTGCCAGGTCAGGAGGCCTCAGTGAGAAGTGCCGTTGTAAGAAACTCCTCTCTCTAGCTCCAGTCCCCTCCCTCAGAGGTGCCCTAGCCGCACTCCTCCCCCACCCCCCACCCCCACCTCCCCTTCCTTTTCCCCTTCCCTGGTATGCAGATGCCAAATTCCTCTTTCTGCAGTGTTCTTTTCATCTGGTCATTCCTCCTCCCCACTCCCCCTGCCTGGAAGACCCCTTTTATTTCTTAACTCAAATCCGAACTTTTCCTGCTGGCCTAACACAAGGTTGGCCTACCCTCTCTTCCCAAAGTCCTCACCACCAGATTACTCCCAACCCCACCTTATGGCAGTGGGTCCCTCGAAGCCCATCCTGTGGCAGTGGCATGTGGATTTCTGGGCCTTTGCTTAATCCTGTGGAGAAATCCTCTCCCCAGCCAAGTGCTGGAGGGGAGACAGAAGTCTTTGGTTGGGGACACACACATACACACTGGGTCTGTTCCCGGGGACCTCTACCCAGAGTCATGCTGGTACTTAGGGAGGAAGTCCCCAGTATAAGACCCTAGGATGGCTGGAGGGCCATGGCTGGAACGGAAGTATTTTAAGTAGTTGTCTGGAGCAGGCAGTCTGGATGGGGTACCTGCTGTGGTCCGAGGGACCCAACTAGAGGAAGCCTTAGGGAGGCCCTCAGGAGTGAGCTGGAACAAGGCTGGATTCTGCAGGACCTGCCCGGGACTCCACTGCAACTGCAGAGCCCGTTGGCCCATGCAGACGTCTTTCGCAGCCCCTCTGAGGCAGGCAGACACCCAGCACCGTGCTCTTTGTTTACATAATGCCTGCTCTCTGGGCCCACTCCCCTTCACTCGGCAGACGTCTTTGTAGTGCTAGGCACACGGGGCAGAATGTCAGATTAGACACAGGTGTTTACTGGTGGCCATCTCTGTTCAACTATGTCGTTCAATAGCTGCTAGATTTTCAGGGGATATTTACTTTTCTCATCGACTCTGGATTTATGTATTGCTGCTTTTTTTTTTTTTTTAAAGATTTTATTTATTTATTTGAGAGAGAGAGAATGAGAGAGAGAGAACACATGAGAGGGGATAGGGTCAGAGGACGAAGCAGACTCCCTGCCGAGCAGGGAGCCCGATGCGAGACTCGATCCAGGGACTCCAGGATCATGACCTGAGCCGAAGGCAGTCACTTAACCAACTGAGCCACCCAGGCGCCCCTGTATTGCTTCTTTTTTGATTTTTGTTTTATTTTCACTCTGAGCCTGTTTTATTTGTGTAATGAATGAAACATAGAGCTAGTCTCAGTTGAGAAAGGTACTGAGATTGCCTGCCTACCAGGAGTGAGGCCCCGCTGGGCACTGCCTGGGGACTGGATGAATGGTAGGGTCTCTGTTTCTGAGGGATTCACAAACTGAAGAGGAAGAAGGATAAGATAACAAAACAGTGTGATTGGTGTTCTGAGTATTTCTTGATCAAAGAAGAAAAGGCTGCCCCTCCCCCAGGGAGGTGATAGTGGAGACTCCCAGACTATGAAGGAAAAGCAGCCACTGAAAGGGAGGAGAAAGGAGAAGGAGGCTGCCTCCAGGGGGCCCAGCATGGACCCACCACAGAGCTGGGAGGCCACAGCCCAATGGGAGAAGAACGGCAAGAGAGGCATCTCAGAGCGCTGTCATTTCTCTGTTCTCAGCCTGACCCACGAGTGAGCTCCCTGGGGCAGGAACCTCCACATGTCTGTTATTTCCCCAAGCTCTTGTGGCAGCAGGTGCTCAGCGGCCCTCATCTGGTCCCGGTCCTGTCATCTGCTCCCGTCTCTGACGCCGCTGCTCCCTTCCCGTGCCTCTGGCCTCCTGGTTGGCTGCCCAGCCAGAGGCTTGCATGGAGACCAGATTCCAGCTCTCTCAAAGTGGGGGCAATAACATCTTCTTCCTTCCTCTCAATCTCCAGAAATGTCTTTCCTCCAGGATCTGAGTTTCTTCAGCATGGGGATGTGGTCCATTGGCGTGGGGGCCCTGGGGGCGGCTGCCTTGGCCCTGCTCCTGGCCAACACAGACGTGTTTCTGTCCAAGTCCCAGAAAGCGACGCTGGAATATCTGGAGGACATAGACCTGAAAACCCTGGAAAAGGGTAAGCAGTGACCCCACCGGCCTCAGTACTTTTCCAAGGTGCTGGGATGCACTTACTCATTTTTTTCCCTTATAAAAAGTCTCTCTCTCTCTTTTTTAATTGAAAAGGCACTATAACAACATTAGGAAAAATGTAATAACATTTTTTAAATTACTGATAAGCCCATTACCCTGACACAGCACTCATTTTTATTTTTGCACATTCCTTTCCATGTGTACATAGTATGCAGTTGGGATCTTACTGGATACCATGTTTTACATTTTAGCTCTTTCTTATCAAAAGCATTTTTCACTTTCTGCTGTTGTCCCCTGGATCTTCGCAAAAAAGGAGCTCCTGGGTCAAATGCATTTGAGAAACACTGTGTATCCAATTCCATGTTCCTGATGCACAGCACAGGCGCCTGCTTATTGAAATGCCGTGTCTGGACGGTTACTGGTGCAGCCATGGGCGGCCCTCACCTGTGGTGCCACACACACAGGGCGGGGGGTGGGGAGCACAAGGTTGCACTTGTAGAGTGGACCTACCTGTCTCCCTCTTGGGGAGCCCACCTGGAGTCCCTGCGGGACAGCTGAGAGCCACATATTTGCACGTGGTTCCTTGGCTGCCTCACTGTGTGCTCTTGGCATGGGCAGCTCAGTGATGCCAGTGGTGTGGCTGCAGTTGGCATGAGTTTGGTGAAACTTGGGGCTCACTGACCGGGTGGTCCCCAGGTTGGCCCCTCAAAGGGAGGCCATGATCACCTGTTCGGTAAGTGAGGAAGCTTGTCAAGGACAGGCAGGCACTGTGCAGACTTACGGCATAGGTCACCTTCATGGAGGACTAAGAAGTCCTGTGGAGAGACCCCTGTTTGGCTGTGTTCAACCCAAGGTTTTCCAATCTCATTCGATTACAGACCCCAGCCCGCTCCTTTTTTTCCACATAACATCCCACAGGGACATGGATTCCTCTGAGAAATGCTATGACAGTTAAGAGTTGCTACTTGCTGAGCCCTCACTAAGTCTGTGTTCGCAGATACTGCGGTGGGCATTTTTCTACCCATCTTTTGATGCCCCTGCGGCCGCAGTGGAGCTGCTGGATGAGCAAACGTGCTCTAGGCCACCTCACTGGATGCAGGCCCTGTCTGACCACGGCCTGGCTTGAACTGCAGAACCTCAGTGCCCTGAGGCATTTCCTTGCTGGGCATCTTCTACCCTATCTTGTAAATAATAGTGCAGTTGACATATTTAGGTTAAAACTTTTTTTCGTAAGGGGGCACCTAGGGTGGCTCAGTTCGGTTAAGCATTGGACTCTTGATCTCAGCTTAGGTCTTAATTTTAGGGTTGTGAGTTCAAGCCCTGTGTTGGGCTCCATGCTGGGCGTGGAGCCTACTTTAAAAAAAAAAAATCAGTTTGGGACACCTGGCTGGCTTAGTTGGTGGAGCATGTGACTCTTGATCTTGGGATTGTGAGTTCAAGCCCCATGCTGGGTGTAGAGATTACTTAAAATTAAAATCTTAAAAAAATTTTTTTTTGTAGAAATTTCTGTTGACCTATTCCCAATGAATACTTTTTTTTTTTAAATTAGGGTTTTTGTTTTTTTTTAAATCAAATTGCAAGATCTCTTTCAGGTTTTGGGCATGTATCTGCCCTAAAGGATCATTATAGTGTTCACTGGTACCAGCAAAGGAATTTGCCATTTTTCCAGAAATGTTCCAGTTTGGGATGTTCACGTTTGCCAATAGATTTTGATGGGGGAGGGCCCTTTCAGGTATACAGTGGGGTCCTTCCTCTGAACGGTGATTAGTTCCTGTCTGTGTTTCCTGTTTGCTGTTTCCAAGTCGTTTGCTAGGCTCGTGCCATTTATGAGCTCCCTCATGGTTGGGGCCAGGCTGGGCTGGGAGGAGAGAATACTGACTTGTCTTTTCTCCCCAGAACCAAGGACTTTCAAAGCAAAGGAGCTCTGGGAAAAGAATGGAGCTGTGATTATGGCTGTACGCAGGCCAGGCTGTTTCCTCTGCCGAGAGGTGAGTACGTCAAGGCTCTGTTCTGTGGTTACTGGTACAGCCATGGGCGGCCCTCACCTGTGGTGCCGCACACACAGGGCGGGGGGTGGGGAGCACAAGGTTGCACTTGTAGAGTGGACCTACCTGTCTCCCTCTTGGGGAGCCCACCTGGAGTCCCTGGGGGACAGCTGAGAGCCACAGATTTGCACGTGGTTCCTTGGCTGCCTCACTGTGTGCTCTTGGCACGGGCAGCTCAGTGATGCCAGTGGTGTGGCTGCGTTTGGTGAAACTTGGGGCTCACTGACCGGGTGGTCCCCAGATTGGCCCCTCAAAGGGAGGCCATGATCACCTGTTCAGTACGTGAGGAAGCTTGTTGAGGACAGGCAGGGTCCAGCCTTGTCACTTTACAGATAGGTGAAGGCCAGAGGGGTTTGGTGACCTGTCCTGGTCGCACAGTCAGTGGCAGAAGACCTAGATTCTGAGATCTGCCTTGCCTGAGGGAAAACTGGGAATGAGACAGCATTGCTTCTCACGTGGTGGCGTTGGCCCTGTCCACGTGGTCTTCCTCCTTCCTCTGGTTTTCCTCCCTCAGCCTGGGGCCTGCCTTTCAGCCTTGAGCTCTCTCTCCTGCTTGTGTGGCTGGGCTAACAGAGAATGTACTCACATTCAGAGCACGTCAGTGCCTGTTGTCTCCCCCATGTATCCCTGGAAAATACAGCTTGTTTTACGGAGAAAGAAGCGGAGGGACAGAGGTTGTGACAAAGCCACACTGCTGTGGGGAGGTGTGTTAATTTCCTGTTGCTGCTGTAACAAATTATCACAGACGTGGTGGCTTTAAACAACACAAATGTATTAGCTTACACTTCCAGAGGTGCGAATTCTGAAAGTGGTCTCATTGGGCTAAAATCAAGGTGTCAGCAGGGCTGCCTTCCTTCTGGAGGCTCCAGGAGGTAAGTGATTTCCTTTCCTCTTTGCTGCTAGTGGCCATCGCACTCCTTGGCTCATGGCCCCTTCCTCCATTTTTACAGCCAGTGATGGCTGGTCCACTCTTTATCCTATTGCATCACCATGTCGCTGGAAGGACCCCTGTGGTTAGAGCCACCCAGATAATACAGGATGGTCTCCTTTAAGATCAGCTGGTTAACAACCATCTACTGCCTTAGTTCCCCCTGGCCCTGTAACAAAACATATTCACAGCTTCTTGGATTAGAATGTGGATGATTATGCTACCTACCATGGTATTATTACTACCTACCATGGGTATTATTCTACCTACCATAGGAAAGTGAGGCCTTAAAACTCAGGGCTTTTGGTTCAAAGTCTGTGATGCCTTCAAATACCAACAAGGAGGCCTGTTGTGACTTGATTTCCCAAGGCCAGTTAAACCCACAGGATCCCAAGAGCAACTGCCCTCCCTAATTACAACCTGCTGGCCTGTGCCCACTCTCTGCCTGGCAGAGCATTTTGTGAAAAACCTGTTGGATGGCAGTCTGTATTATTTTAGTGACCCAGACCAGAGGTGTAGGACTGAGTTTCCACTTCATGGCTTTGTGCAGTGACACACCAGGGTACAGAGTCCAGGAAAAGGGAGTAAATCCTTTCATCTCACACATAGGTGGTCTTTGGCCACAGCAGACCTGTAGTCCTCTCTGCTGTAGGGCAAAGTTTGCCACTCACTGAAGCTCTTGATGAGTGCATCGTAAAGGACTCTGCTTCATTAGCTGTCCTTTTCATGTGTTCTAGAAAATAAACAAAAAATTAAATGTAGTTGCTACCATACAGCAACTTACTTGTATTAGAGTTAGGTGGGCTGCTATTTCTTTAATTCCGACACCAGTCGTGAAAAATTTGTTCTGAACAGTGAAGCTTTACCAAGACACATGTAGTTTCCTTTCTTCATCCAGCATGTAATTCATGAGAGTCAAGGATGTCTGTATTTATCAGTCCAGCCGCATTCTCCCTATTACCCATCTTCACCTTCAGATCTTTCCACATGGTATCTGGTACCTTCCGTGTATCCAGCCATGTGCTAGGCATGGAGGGATACAAGAAATGGAAGACACGGTGTCTAACTATAAGACACATTTGGGAACTTAAGTGACTGTGCTCAGCTTGGTGATCACACACAGACTCGGTTCCGAAAAAGTCTCCAAGCAGAAAGATTGGATATGCACAGAGAACTGGGGCTTTCCTCCAGGCTGGATGAACCAGGGAGAACTTTCAGAACAGGGACCCCTTTCTGGAAGGTGGGATTTGAGTGGGAGAAAAAGAAGGTTGTTGAGAGAAGGCGTGGGGGCAGCTATTCACACGGCCCAAATGGGGTTTGTCTCCTAGGCTTTGCTGGTTTGGTCAGATGCAGGGGAGGGGCATCGTGGCTACATGTTTGGGGCCGTGTTTGGGGGCAATCTCTCAGTTACTGGATACCCCCCAGGCCATGGTTAGGACACCCATAATAGGAGCCTTGCCTCCCCTTCCCACCCTGGAGAAAACAAGAAGCCTGGGCTGAGGAGGGGGCCTGACACCCTACAACTGTGGCCCTGGGCCCAGCTGGGCCAGGCTCTGCTGGGCTCCACAGGCCTTCATTGTTCCGGGCGTCTTGTTGCTTTTGTTCTGCATTCAGTGCCAGCCCCGCTCTGGGTCTGCAGGGGAGCGGGCTTTGGCCAGCTGCGGAACCACAGCAGTGTGAGCCCCTGATGTTCCCTGTCTTCTGCAGGAAGCTGCGGACCTGTCTTCCCTGAAGCCCAAGCTGGATGAGCTGGGAGTCCCCCTGTATGCAGTGGTGAAGGAACAAATCAGGACCGAAGTACAGGACTTCCAGCCTTATTTCAAAGGAGAAATCTTCCTGGATGAAAAGGTGCATCTCCTGTGAGCCTGTTGACACAGACTGGTGGGGACTGCTCAGGTGTGGAGAGCTCGTTGGCCAAGGGTATGTCTGGCCTGGAGCTGGAGGCTGGCCTCTCTTTTGGCTGCCCTGGACGTGGAGGAGCTTGTGCAGCCCTCTGGGCAGAGTGTGATGGGACACGTGACAGGTGTCCTCTCAGTTATTACTTGAGCCCTTCCTGAACTGTGACCTGGGCACGGGAGCCTGGGAAATTGCTGAAGCCCCGCTGGGTTCTTGCACCATGCAGGCGGGGACCAGCACAAGCCCCTGTCCCTTACTTCATTGCAGCCATATTCCTTTCCCCTCTGCTCTCACCTGTGCAGGATGTTGGGCTGTTAGCACCCTGTCGGGCACAAGAGCCCTGTGTGTGTCTAGCAGGGGGTTAGAGGCAGAGTGGAAAGCTGCATATCTGTTTCCCGAGCGTGGGCCTGTCCTGGGATCGGAAGTTGGCCTGGCAGGGTTCTCTCTGCCTGGGCAGTTGAGAGTGCTCTTGAATGGGAGCTGTGTGTGGGTTAGGTTGCGGGGAGGACATGAAGCAGCAGGTTTTGGGTCTTTGAGAATGAATGCCCTGTTGGGAACCTTTCCTCCTCGGGGAAGGCAGGCAAACAGGCTGCTCCAAGGGGCTCTGTCTTTCTTGCTCCTGCAGAAAAAGTTCTACGGTCCCCAAAGGCGGAAGATGATGTTTATGGGATTTGTCCGTCTGGGTGTCTGGTACAACTTCTTCCGAGCCCGGAACGGAGGCTTTTCTGGAAATCTGGAAGGCGAAGGCTTCATCCTTGGGGGAGTTTTTGTGGTGGGATCAGGAAAGCAGGTAAATTCCTCATGTTCACGTATGGATCTGTGGGTGTCTGTAGGCACAAGACCCCAATGTGGGGAGTGACCTTCCCTACTTGGAGTCTTGCAGCCTTCCTTCCAGAAAGCCAGGGAATGTGAGGAAGGAAAAGAGAGGGGAATTACCCTTTACCACACATCTGCTCATAGGCCACCTCACACTCGAATCTCCTCACTCATCACAGTAATGTCCTGAGATGGTCTGGGGGTTCTGCGGGCCAGTAACTGGGGACTGAGAGGTGTGGGTGAGCACACGCCTGCATCCGGGTTTCCTGATGTCAAGTTCTGTCTTCGGCGCTTGAACAAAAGCGTTTTTATTCTTTCAAGAACTTACTCCCCTGCAGTTTTCCCAGGTCATCAGGGATGGACAGTAGAGAAAAGGAAGAGGAGAGAAGGAAGAAAAACAACCCGAATTAGGGGGAGTAGCAAGGAGATGTGGGGGAAGACAGCACTTTCCCCTGTGGGGTGCCGCTCTGGAGAGGTAACAGACTTCTCCGCAGACAGGCTGCTCCAGGCCCTGGCTCTGAGGCTCCAGGGTCAGCACAGGGACCCTGTGGGCCCTGGAGGCAGGTGGGTGGCAGCTCCGTGTTGACTGTGGGCAGCCTTGAGCTGGGGGGGCTCCCCTGTGCTGGAAGGCAGTGCCTTCAGATGCCAGAGCAGGTGTGGGGTGAAGTAGATGCAGTTTCAAGGGCCCGACAGGAGGACCTCGAGACTGATGGCCTGACCTCTAGTCGTGTCTTTCCCAACTTTGGGCATCACATTAACACTAGGCCTCCTCTGTAAAAAGACGGTATTATTTACAATGGTGGATCTCACTGCTAACGTTAATAATTGCACACTTCTCTCAGTTTGGGAGGAGTAAAAGCTACTAGGAATAGAAATCTTTCAATTTTAAGTTCTTCTAATCTCTTCCTTTTAAACCTTGGTAGCTGCTGTTGCTTGTCTGTATTAGAATCTTACATGGATTGGTGTATGATATAATACAAACCTATTTGCTTCCTTTCTGGTAAATACACCAAAATGTCTTAGTGATCATGGCTGCCAGTGAATGCCTGCCTTGTTCTGAGCCCTCATGTATACCATCTCATACCTTCCTCACAACCAGTCTGGGATGTTAGGGATTTTTATTCCCATCTACGTGTAAGGAAATGAATTATGAATGATATGAAATAACTCCGCCAAGAGATACACAGCTGTATCTGTGGTAGTGGTACAGTGGAAATGGAACTCAGGAACTCAGACACGTCCTGCTCCAGAGATCCCCACCCTTCCCCTGCCCAAGGCCTCTCCTCAGCAGTGGTTCCCAAAGACCCCTTCCAGATGCCCTTGTGCTTGGGCAGGCCCCTTCCCGAGACGATCAGTCGCCCAGCCTCTTCTGGCCCTGGCGCACTGGGATCTGGAATTCCTCCGTCCTCCCTCACTCTTGCCTTCCCTCAGCCTCTGGGGCAGGGCAGAGCTCGCTGGCGGCCTTCTCTTGCCTGCCAGTGACTCATCTGGTGCTCACAGCCCCCCAGCCCGGCTGGCACATTCCTGGTGCTGCTAGCTGTGTTGTTGCACTTCGTTGGTGCTCCCTGGAGCGCAGCCTTCTTCCTTTCTGGTGGCAGGTGGAGTGGCCTGGCTGAGCGGCGGGACCTACCTCCAGGATCCTGGAAAGCAGAGTTTTCGCAGTCCCCCGAGTCAGCTGCCACTCAGTGGGGATTTCCTTTGTAATAGTAATCGTTAAAGCACGCTTACTTTAAAGAAGCAATGTGTTTTCAACATAGAAGATTTGAAAACGCAACAGTAGAAGGTGAGGAGAGCCGTTCTGTAAGCTCAACCACTGTGCACAACCCGCCAGAACAGAACTGAGAAGCCTCTTATTGTTTTTTTTTTTTTTTTAGAAAATCTCACTAGATACTCTTTTTTCATTTAACGGTGTATCATGAACATCTCCTATGTCATTATATATTCTTCCTTAGTATTTTTAATGTCCGCATACTGCTTTATTAGACATGTAAATATAGTTTCCTGATCTGCTTCCCTGTAGTCACCTCATTGTGGTGGGACTTTTTGGGTTTTTTAAAAAAGTCTTCATAAGTAATTGTGCAGCAAACGTATTTATGGATGTTTGTTTATTTATTTGTTTTGTTAAGATGAACTCCCTGATGTCCTGGGTTGAGGAAGTTTTTCACAAGTGTTCCTCAATACTGATCTCAAACACACTATTTTATGTTTTTTACCACTTTCGTGTACTTTGGTGTATCCTCTCTCTTAGAGCATTTTGCTTCACTGTATCAGGAGCGGCCTCTGCTTTCTTAGGAAAACTAAGTCAAGAGAGGGTGTGTCTCCCTTTTCAGATGGTCAAACTCTGACCTCTGAGCTCCACTTGCACACCTCGAGGCTTTTCTCTGGAAGCTCATCCTCTGTCAGCTCTCTCTCCGCCTGGCGTGGTCTTTTACTTCACCTCTACGTGTAGACACGTGGCTGCCTTCCATGCTGTATCATCTGTGAAGCCTTCCCTCATCACCCCATTATACTGCCCCACGTAGATGTCCCTCCTGACTTCCTGCTCCCACAGTGCTGCTGGTACAGCCCACCCATTGTGATGTGACCTTCCCTGGTCCCGTTTTGCCACCAGAACTGAACCCCTCGGGAGCACAGCCAGGCCTGACCCAGATCTCTGGCCCTGCTGCCCAAGCTGCCACTCAGTGTCTGTCCCATGAATGAGTGACTCAGAGTGAGGACTGATGTTCCTTCTTGTTTCCTTTTAGGGCATTCTTCTCGAGCATCGAGAAAAAGAATTTGGAGACAAAGTGAACCCAGTTTCAGTTCTGGAAGCTGCTAGGAAGATCCAGCCCCAGACTTTGGCTGCGGAGGCAAAGTGATCATGTGAAACTGCTCAGGGATAACTAGGGGCACTCACCTGTGTCCTGGGATGTGCTATATCTCCACTCATGTCCCCAGAGAGTTAGAAACCCACTCATGCCATATTGTCAGTAGAGATCATTAACGTATTTTAATACTGTGCTCTCTTTAGGCCCAATAAGGCAAAATAGCTCCCAGACAAGACTGATAAGAATCTAAGAAACCAGTGGAGGTAATTTCAGCTAAAACCTGGAAAATATGAGGCTTAGCCTTGACTGCTGCACCTCCTTAAAACGTACGTGGCGTGAGTGACGTCATCGGAAATGGCTTTTATTTTCATGTTTTCAAAAATCTAAGAAAAGTTGATGATTGACTTGAAGATTCAGGATATGAAGGCTTGGGGCTTGTGTGTTCTCTATTAACGACCTGTTATACAATGTTAAAGTAATACGCAAAGGAATTGGTGGGCACTGGATGGCTTACTAAAAGTAAATTATGAAGTGAAATCTATTTTTTCATCGTCTTCCATTCTAACCTCAGAGGTTTGTTTTTCTAGAAGAAGTGATCATGTCTGGCTCTAATAAAATTATGTATCAGAAATTGCCTGTAATACAAGTTTTTCTGATAAAACTAACAATAAAAATATTTACCAGAATCATGGCTGAATTTAAATCTTTGGTGCCAAAGACGTTGAGCGTGAAAAATCCGGGTTCTCCACGCGTATGAGGTAAGGGGTAGTGGTGGGGGAGCCCCTCTAGTTCTCATGCTCTAGGAGGTTTGCAAGTGACCAAAGAAATTCATCCTGTCGTTCGTGTTAGTGATTTTGTTGTCTTCCCTAGGGAAATGACGGGTTTTTAAAATTGGTAGCTGCTTTCCTACTGATAGTCTTTCAGCCTAATTTGAGGGGAATGAGAAGGGACAGAGAGGATGAAATATAATTTAATTCATTAATTTGTTATATTTGAATTTTTGTCATATGTGTAAGTATGAGATCAGCGAAAGCCCAGAGGTGGGGGGGCTCTGCCCTGGGAGTGGAAGGGTGGGGATGGGAGTCCAGTGAAGAAGGGACCAGGGAGCAGACCGGCCAGGAGGAGGGAGTCAGTGTTTAGCCAGGAAAGCAAGAATGGGGACAGTGGGAGCTGGAGCTAGAAGAGCATCAGCATTGAGCGCAGAGCGTAGGGGCAGCTCTGACGTCATGCGGAGCCAGCAGCGCCGCGTGCGCACAGGCCTGCAAAGGGCTAGGCTTCTGCGGGCCTTAGCAACCCTCTTCAGTCCTTGAGCAGGGTTGGTGTAGTGACTCATCCCCCAGTAGCCGTGCTCCCGGGGACTCCAGCCACAGGTAAGAGAACTCGGATCAGAATTCCCCGGTGCCTAGGCAATGCTTGTTTCCGAAACGGTTCTCTTGCAACTACAGAAGACTAGAACCTGCAAGGACATGGCGGCGAGGGTGCACGAAGGCAGGCCTTACTCCTTCCCCCACAGTGTCGCTGCTGGGCCCTCATGTGCAGTGTGCTCTTCTCTCCCATTAGCGCCACATCGTGACTGACCCATGAAGTGGGTTCCAGTTTCCGGTTTAACCGTGTGACTGAGCAGAGCTCCGACCTTCAGCTCCTTCACTCGTAAAATGGGCATCGTAATTCCTGTCTAGCATTCAGGGCTGTTTATTAGAAGTCATTGAGGGAGTGATGAATATAAAACAGTGCTTCTCAAAAATTAATGTACGTGCAGAGGCACCTAAGAATCTTTTTAAAATGGAGGCAGTTAAAGAAAAGCCAGATGCTCAGTAAAGGCAGGAAAGACATTGATTCGGTGACCACTGCAGTAGGGGAGAGGCCTCCATATGGGACTGAGCTCAAATGGGCTCTGTGCAGAGATAACTGGAATTTTAAAGGGTGATGAAGGAGGGGGCAGGAGACAAGCGATGCCTTGAGCAGAGTCAGAGAAGTGGAAAATTACTGAAAGTGGGTGGTGGGGATTGGTCAAGGTGATGAATCTGTGTCTGCTAACCAGCTAGCTTATTAAGTTAGGCTTCTGCCCTCCCACAGAGACTGGGAGATGGAGCCCTATCTGTTTTGAGGATTATGCTTCAAAGGGATGACTCTCAGGTCCTTGGGACAGACACTCCTGGGTTTCAGGAGATGCACAGATATCTCAAAGGGACAGAGAAAGGGTTTACAATTGTAATTTTTTTTTTAAGTAAATGCTCTAAGGAAAGGGAGGTCAGAGGGTTATGGTCAGGTGTTTGGCTGAAACAAATGGTAAATTCTTTTGGCAGCCTTGAGTTTTCCCAGGCAGGGTCTCAAGGGGTGCTGGGTTGTCCCAGGGAAACAGTCTTGAGCTGCTAGAAACTATACTAGTGTTTGTTCAAGTCTCCTAGTTGGGGGGAGGGGATAGACAAAATTGTTTGTGCTCAAAGTTTTACAGTTCTCAAGACTGGGCTGGGGTTGGAGTTTCTGCATTCTAACAAGCTCCTGATGGTCTTGGCGTTCTCTTGGTCCATGGCTCACACTCTGAGAAGCAAGAATCTAAAACACCCTACAAATCAAAGACATTAATATCTATGGGCTTTGGACATTGAAGCTTTAGCAGCCTTTGACAAGCATTAATTAGCAGGTTCCCTTTTCCTTATTTGAAAAGGAATTGACAATCCATAATAATGCAAACTATCAAGAGAATCCAAGAAAGAGTCCTTGCCGGAAAGCTGATGGTTCTCAGTTTGGATACACAGTAAGACCACCTGGGAAGGTTTAAAAAAAATTCTGATGCCTGTTCACACCCCCAGACCCATTAAATCCGAATCCTGAGCTAGGACACAGGCAACAACAGTTCTTAAAGCTACAGGATGATTCCAATATTCCAAGGTTGAGAACCATCCCCAAAGACCTCAGTGTCAAGTTTGGAAGACCGGTGCTCACACATTTAGGAGAACTTACCCAGAACCAGGGGGCCCCTGATAATCCCTGAGTCTTCAGGTGGCAAGGGTCAGGGATGGTTTAGACGTGGATGTGGGGGAAGTCAGGCTAAAACTGAATTTTCAAGGTGGAGATTTGGATAAAGACCTCATTTCAGGCAGAATCAAGTCCCTGAACCAAGATATAGCGAGAGAAAAGGTAAATAGTAGGTATTGGAGAACAGGGAGCAGTCTGATCTGTTTTGCTTACCCGATTCAATGTCCTCTTGCCCAATATACGGATTTCTCAAAAGGAGTGCCCTTTCCACATGGATGATTATTTTAAAATAAAACTATTTTACTGGGGGTGGGGGTGGGGCACGTGGAAAGCAGTGCCTGTTTTCCCAGAGCTAGGCATACTTGGGGTGATGGAGGGATGGGGGGCTGGTAGAGAAGGTGAGCTGTGGGGAAGAGGCGGTAGGCGGTTGTGTGTGTAGCGGGTAGATTGGATCAAAGGGTCCAGCTGAACACTACTCCTCAGCCCTGGCTCTGTTTCCTCTATTCTCAGTTGCTTATGTCCCATGGGGCAAGTAGGCAGGTATGTACTTGTGAGTTTATGTTTGGGAGGGATGGGGAAGGTTAAGTTATCTTGTTCTGGTTTGGTTCAAATCCTTTTCTAGGTTTAAAGGAGAAGGGTGTCTTTTAAGTTTAGTTTGTTTTTAAAGCAATTACCATAAAGGATGATTGTGGGAGGGATCCCTGGATTTGGGGGAGGGGGATCCATTCAAGGACATGCTCTTCCTGGGTATACCGGGTCACTCTTCTGTGTTACGTAATGATGGTCCAGGCCAACCCAACAAACTAGTTTAAAGTGGGAGTCAGTTCTTCCCATAATTTAGTAAGAGCACAGAGAGTGATGGGATGGATGTACTACTGGAGACAGTTGGCCAGAGGGGGCCTCTTTCATTAAATATTTGGGCAGACACCTAGGAGAAGTAAGAAGGCAGGTCTTGTTAACCTCAAAAATAAGTGTTTTTTAAACAGCAAAAACGGGTTTATTCAGGAGCAGCAGAGAACTGCAACTCATGACACACAAGCTGTGGCAAAACCCACAGGCAAGCCCAACAAAGAGGTGGAATGTTATTTTATGGAGAACAAGGAAGAAGCTGGAGGGGTTATTTTGAACCAAAGTCTATCAGAGAAAAGCAAGGTTTCAGGGCGACAATGTTTCTCATTGGCTGAGTTGCAAGGAGTTGTCAATTTCTTGTAGGAGATGCAATATACGTATTTTCCTGTTGGAGCCTGAAATTGATGATTCTTTGCTGTTGTGGATTTTGTTATTGACCATTTTTCCTGTAGTTGAGTGGTATGGCTCTCCCTTCTAGCTTGCCCAGTCTACTTAAATGAAGTTTCTTTTTATTAATTTTCACAGTCTTATGAATACTGGAGGAAGAACATTCCAGGCAGAGGAAGCAGCAACAACATACAAAGGCCCAGAGGTGGAGATGAGATTGTTATGTCCAAGGGACAATAAGAAAGCAAGAGCAACATGAGTGAAGAAGGAAAGGTAGGAGATGAGATCAGAAGGTGGGGAGATGGTAGAAATGCATGCCAGGTTGTTCTGGCAAGTCATGGTGAGAACTTCTGAATTTTACTAAAAGAGATGGGAATCCATTGGAGGGTTTTGAGAAGAGGAGTAAAATGATCTGATTTATATTATCCTGACTGCTTTGAGACAATGATTGTAGAGGATCAAAGTTCCACCAGGGAGACCACTTAGGATGCTGTTGCACAAATCCAGGCGAGATAATGGTGGAACCAGGTGGTACCAGTAGAGGGGTGAGAAACTGCCAGATGCCAGGTATGTTTGAAGGCAGAGCTAAGAGGATTTCATGAACAACTGGATGCGGGATGAAAGAGAAAGTCAAGGATGACTCCAAGATCTGGGGCCGAGCAACTAACTGCACATGAATTTTCAGTAGAGGGGACAGAAGATGATAAGCTGGAGGAAAGGCTTTCGTGTGCTACAACAGTTACAGTGAATGGACCAGAGATGTAAGTACCAACTTGGGATGCATCCAAACAGCGCTAGGGTGGAAAACAAGCTTCCAAATGGTACATTCAATAGGATGCAATTTTCATAAATTTTTAAGACACATACAACAGTATTGTTTAGAACTCCATATATACATAGTGAAGTGTAAAAACATGTATGGGATGATAAACGATGTGCAGCCAGGGTTGAGCACCATCTGGTTGCTTTACACTTTAAAAAATCCTATTGCTCAGGACAGATCCTAGAATGTCTGGGGATGGACCCAGGTGTCATTTTTTCTAAGCTCTCTGGGGATTCCACTATGGAGGCAAGGTGGAAAACCACTGCCTTAAATTGAGAAATGACTGTGAAATCTGAGAAGCACACGGAATTTTCCCTTTTTATGTCTAA